TTTTTTTTTTTTTTGTAGCCCAGTGGCATCAGCAGCCACAGAGCACCAAGCCAAAAAAAGTACGCCCCTCAGCCAGTCGCTACGCAGCACTTTCGGACCAGGGACTAGACATCAAAGCAGCGTTCCAACCTGAAGCCAATCCATCTCACCTGACACTGAATGCCGGCTTGGTGGAAAGTGAGGACCTGTGATCCGACATTCTTGTTAAAGCTGAAACACTGAAACAGCCTTGACCAGCATATTCCTTTGTCACATTATGTAAAAGGCAAAAACATACCTTTGACTGTAAGAAATTTAAAAAACCAAAATAATATTTTTCTTACTTGATACACCAAACTAAGAGTTTCAGTAGGTGATACTAATAGAAATGTACACATTGCACAGAACAACTCTTGAATTGATGTGATTAAAGTGGTCTGAAATGCCAAAATACTAAAGGAAAGCAACCAATTGTTCAAAGGTAACCACAATTCATATTATCATAAGAGCCTTTAAACACTAGTTTTAGGTGCTATAGGGCATGATAGTGCGGAATGCTTAACATGAGGCAACTGTACCACAAATACTAGAATGATTCTGAAGTGACAGTGTATTCAGACAGCTACAGTGAACCAAGTGCAATATGTAAGGATGAAAAAGGAGGAAAGAAATCCAAGTTGATGCCTTGTCTTTGCAAACTGTTCTATATTAAATCATAAGGAGGGAATTCCCTTAAATTTTAATACTATCAAGTATTTTTTAACAAGGGTAATACCTTAGTTCCTTTTTCTCTTTATGTGTTTTATTTTCTTTTCATGCTACCTAGGTAGAAAGCTTATTTACAAACCATATTAAAAGGCTAATTTAAATATAAATAATATAAAGTATTCTGAATAGAACAGAAATATATACAGTCCATTCCAGGGAAGGCGTCCAAATAACCAAAGCGTTCAGAATTTGGAGGAAACAAAGGTCTGAAAGAAGTAGGGAGAAGAAGGAAGGAAAAGGTACCAGCATACTTACATTGTATTCATTTAGATAAAAGTAGAAGGGGCAAGAGACATGGTAAAGGCCAGGCTTTTCTTGAAAATTAATCTAACATGTAGGTGAAAAAACAGCCATTCACGAGTTAGGGAATCTAGGGTCAGCTGGAAGTTGGAGCACATGTGCTATGGAAATCTTAGTGTGTCTGAAGTTTGTGTAGTAGTTGAAGATTTTAGATGTTTAGAGCAAGTTGACAATGGACTGAGACTGCAAGATTGGCGTAAATGAGACATTGCCTGTAGCATCTAGTCTACCTGAGGGAAATGGACACTTAAGAGAGACAAAAACAGGTTTATTTTTTTCAATGGCACCAAGACATGGTGAAATTTATCAGTTCACATCCCTGCTCCCATGAAGCTTTGCTTTAAGAAGGTGCTGCATTCTGAGGAGTTTGTAAAGGCACCTCAGCAAAGACTGATTTTTAAATGCACTTGATTCTGCATCAGCTAGACTGTTGATTCTGACCAGACTTGATGGTTTTAAGTCGGAACCAATAAATATTAAAAAGAAAAAATAATTTGGCCTAATACTATAAAACATGAGGCTTTAATGGTACTTTGCTATGAAAAGAAAACACTGTATTCCTTATGCAAATCACGTATACTTTTCATTATTTATAATAAAAACGATGAACTCTTAGCTCAGTTACTCAATTCAATACATAGTATTTTTTAAAGTACTTTTATATCTGTGTAACACCCCATATATTTCATATTACTGCTTCACATGTACAGCTTTCTACTTCTTCATAAGAACACCAACCAACCAGGTTTTAAATGATTAATAGGCTGAGCACTGGGTGGCAGATGTTCTATGCAGTGGTACAGCTTCTTTGACCACATTTATATGCATTACTAATATGGAATTTAAGATACCATACTAAGTCCCTCAAGGACCTACCTATATTGTAGTACTATGACTTATGTCATATCTTACTTGCCAAATTTTTCTGAATGTGACTTTTTGCTAATTTGCTGGGTTTGGGATTAAGTAGCATTATTTTGCCACCTTTTATGTTGTATTTATAAAAAAATAGTACTATCATACTACTTTGGGTTGTTGTGCTGGTGTAATGTGGATTTAACATCAATAAATATTTAACAAGTTATAGTTGCAATTTTGTGAAGCAAAGTATTCAGTCATTTTAGTTTTCTATTGCTGCTGTAACAAATTAGTACAGAGGTTTAAAACAATACTCATTTCTTAGCTCACAGATCTGTAGGTCAGAAGTTTAGGCATGATATGGCTAGATTCTCTGCTCAGGGTCTTAAAAGGCTAAAATCAGTTATGTTCACTAAACTGTGTTCTCATCTGGAATTCAAGATCCTCTTCCAAGCTTAAGTTGCTATGACAGAATTCAGTTCTCGCAGCTGTAGGTCAGGAGTCTCACTTAGTCTGTCAGCTGGGGGCCACTCAACTCCTACAGGCCACCTGTACTCCTTGCCATCTTCAAAATCAGCAATGAGAATCTCCCTCCAGACAAATCCCTGTCACTCTTTGACTCTCTTGGCAACAGGGGCCCAATCCCTTTAAAGGGATCATATGATCAGGTCAAGCCCACTCAGATAATCCCTCTTAAAATCAGTGCATGTGGGACATAATTACATATGCAAAATCGCTTCAAAGCAACTTGTGTTTGACTGCATGACTGAGAGGTGTGTGTATACTGGGAAGTGGGGGACAATGGGAACCATCTTAGAATTCTGAAAACAGTTTATTTTATGTGTGAAAATAATACTGGTTCATGTGATGGCCTAGGCAGAAGTATTCTGTGACTACATATCTGTGACTATATACCATATCCCCTCCCCTAGAAATTAAATATAGCCTGGCCGGGCATGGCTCAGCGGTTGAGTATCGACCTGGGATCCAGGAGATCTTGAACATACCAAGTCTACAAGTACCTACAGAACAGTTTCCTCTGAAAGAAACCAAATCTAGCTGAGTGACTCACATACATTGGTCAAAAAACACACTGAATCAGAAAGGAGAGGCTGAGGCACAATCTTGCCAAAAACCCCACCCCTTGGCAGAGAAACACACAATTGGGAGGGAACTCACACCACCAAGCTTCTCCCTGAGGAATGAAGAGGTATGAACCTCACATCGAACACCCCAACTGTTAAGACCTGCAAATGAAAGAAGTGCCCCCAAAACACTTCGCTTCAAAAGCAATGAGGCTTGCATCTATGAAACCCAAAGGCTATAGCAATCTGAAAGACAGTTCTTAAAGGGCTTGCATGCACAGACTCACCCATGAGGTCCTATCCATTGGGACTCTGATAGGTTTTAGCACACCCATAACTACTGGGAGCCACTAAGAATAAAGTAAGCTATTTGGACAATTACAAAGGTTTGAGAGAAAATCAACAGCCTGGAGAGGGTTAAACAATAAGACAAGACTAATAGAGGTGACTGTTTTACCTAAAAGAAACATACAGAATGTCAAGGAAAATGAAGAAACAAAGGAATCCACTCCAAACAAAAGATTAAAAACTAAGAAAAAGACCTTAATGAAGGGGAGATAAATGATTTAACTGATAAAGAGTTCAAAATAACAGTCATAAAGATGCTCACAGAGCTTGGAGAAAAATGCATGAGCAAAGTGAGGATTCCAACAAAGCAACATTACCAAATAGAAGTCACAGAGATGAAGAGTACAATAACTGAACTGAAAAATACTATAGGGTGTTCAACAGTGAACTGATGAAGCAGAAGGAACAGTAAACTCATAGTGCAGAGAAACCCATCAAATCAGAAGAACAAAAAATAAAAAATGAAAAAGAATAAAGATAACTTAAGGGGCTCATGGGACAACATCAAGTGGAACAACATTCACATTATAAGAATCTCAAAAGGAGAGAGAGAACAAGGGGAAAAAGCATATTTGAAAAAATAATGGATGAAAATTTTTCCCTAACCTGGGCATGAAAACAGATATACAGATGCAGGAAACCCAGAGGCCCACACCAAGACGCATTAAAATGTCAAAAGTTAAAAATTAAAAGATAATCACTTACAAAGCCAGTGTGAAGGGTAAAAGATAAAAGGAGTCAAAATAACTACAATAGTTAACGGATACACAAAATAAAAAGCTATTATGATATCAAAAACGTAAAATAAGGGGGGACAAAGCAAAAATATAGAATGTTAAAATATGTTCTAACTTAAGTCATTATCAACTTAAAACATGTTTATTTATATAACCCTCATGGTAAACACACACAAACCTATAGTAGATATACAAAAGATAAAGAAATTTAAGCATACCACTATAGATAATCAAGTCACGAAGAGAGCAAGAGAAGAACCAAGAAATTACAAAACAGCAAGAAAACAATTAACAAAATGGCAGTATTTACATACCTATCATAATTACTTTAAAGGTAAATGGACTAAATTACCCAATCAATAGACACAGAATGGCTGAATAAAAATTTTTTTTATAAAGACATCTATAACATAATAAAGGCCATATATGACATACCTACAGCCAACATCATACTCAACAGGAAAAAACTAAAACCGTTTGCATTACAAACAGGAACACGACAGGGATGTCCACTTTCACCACTTTTATTCAACAGAGTACTGGAAGTCCTCGCCACAGCCATCAGACAGGAAGAAAACATCAAAGGGATCCAAATTGGAAAGGAGGAAGTAAAACTGTCATTATTTGCAGATGACATGCTATTGTACACAGAAAACCCTAAAGACTCCGTCAAAGTACTACTAGATTTCATAAACGAATTTGGCAAGGTAGCTGGATACAAAATCAACATCTGAAAATGGCATTCTTATACACCAACAATGAACTTTCAGAGAGAGAAACTAAAAAAAAAATCCCATTTACGATTGCAACTAAAAAAATAAGATACCTAGGTATAAACTTAACCAAGGATGTAAAAGACCTGTACTCGGAAAACTACGGGACACTGAAAAAAGAAATAGAGGATGATATAAACAAGTGGAAGAATATACCATGCTCATGGATTGGAAGAATTAATACCATTAAAATGTCTGTACTACCCAAAACAATTTATAAATTCAGTGCAGTTCCTATTAAAATACCAACAGCCTATTTCACAGATCTAGAACAAACATTTCAAAAATTTATATGGAACCAAAAAAGACCCCGAATAGCTGCAGCCATCTTGAAAAAAAGAATAGAGTGGGAGGGATCACATTGCTGGACACCAAACTGTACTACAAAGCAATTGTAATCAGAATGGCCTGGTATTGGTACAACAACAGACATATAGATCAGTGGAACAGAACAGAGTCCTCAGAAATAGGCCCACACCATTATGGTCAATTAATATTTGACAAAGGAGGCAAGAGCATACATTGGAGTAAAGACAGTCTCTTCAATAAGTGGTGCTGGGAAAATTGGACAGATACATGCAAAAAAATGAAACTAGACCACCAACTTTTACCATACACAAAAATAAACTCAAAATGGATAAAAGACTTAAACGTAAGTCATGAAACCATAAAAATCCTGGAAGAAAACATAGGCAGTAAAGTCACAGACATCCCACATAGCAGAATTTTCACTGATACATCTCTTAGGGCTAGAGAAACAAGGAAAAACAAACATATGGGACTACATCAAACTAAAAAGTTTCTGCACAGCAAAAGAAAACAGCCTCAAAATACAAAGTCTGGGAAAACATTTGCCAAGGATGTATCTGATAAGGGGCTAATTTCCAAAGTGTACAAAGAATTCATACTACTCAGCAAGAGGAAGACAAACAACCCAATTAAGAAATGGGCAAAGGACCTGAATAGACACTTCTCCAAACAGGACATACAGATGGCCAAGACACACATGAGAAAATGCTCAGCGTCAATAATCATCAGAGAGATGCAAATTAAAACCACAATGAGGTATCACTTCACACCTGTCAGAATGGCTACCATCAACAAATCAACAAATGACATGTGCTGGCGAGGGTGTGGAGAAAGGGGAACCCTGGTACACTGCTGGTGGGGATGCAGACTGGTGCAGCCACTATGGAAAACAGTATGGAGGTTCCTCAAAAAATTAAAAATGGAGCTGCCTTTTGACCTAGTGATCCCACTTCTAGGAATGTATCCTAAGAATCCTGAAACACTAATCAGAAAGAATATATGCACCCCTATGTTCAAAGCAGCTCAATTTACAATAGCTAAGATCTGGAACTAGTCCAAGTGCCCATCAGTAGATGATTGGATAAAAAACTGTGGGACATTTACACCATGGAATACTACGCAGCTGTAAAGAAGAAGGTTCTTGTACCCTTGGGACAGTATGGATGCACCTGGAGAATATTATGCTAAGTGAAATAAGCCAGGCAGAGAAAGACANAAAAAAATTAGAAATGGAGCTGCCTTTTGACCTAGTGATCCCACTTCTAGGAATGTATCCTAAGAATCCTGAAACACTAATCAGAAAGAATATATGCACCCCTATGTTCAAAGCAGCTCAATTTACAATAGCTAAGATCTGGAACTAGTCCAAGTGCCCATCAGTAGATGATTGGATAAAAAACTGTGGGACATTTACACCATGGAATACTACGCAGCTGTAAAGAAGAAGGTTCTTGTACCCTTGGGACAGTATGGATGCACCTGGAGAATATTATGCTAAGTGAAATAAGCCAGGCAGAGAAAGACAAACATCACATGATCTCACTTATATGTGGAATCTAAAGAACTTAATAAACTGATGAACAGAATAGATTCAATGACATGGAAGCATAGATCAGACTGACAAAAGGTCAGTGGGAGGGAGGAGGGTGGGTGGAGAGGGAGAGAGTAACCAAAGAATTTATATGCATATATGCACAACCCAAGGACACGGACAATGGTAGGGGTGGGGACTGGGAAAAGGGGTGGGACAGGGTGGAATGGGTCATTGGGGAGATAAAGGGACATTTGCAATATTTTAAATAAAAAATATATACATAAAAAATTAATTTTTTAAAAAAAGACATCTATATGCTGTCAACAAGAGACTGTTCAGATGTAAAGACACAAAAACTAAAAGTGAAGGGATGAAAAAAAAATATTCCGTGCAAATGGAAACCGACAGAAGGCTGGGATAGCTATACCTATATCAGACAAAATAAACTT